GGGAATTTATGAGGGTCACTAATTGAGGTCAGTTGATAGAGCAGTGCAAAAAAGGGTGTGGGGCGGAGAGGATGGCGGAACAGCAAGAGTGGGACTGGCGCTCGCCAAGAGGCGCTGATATGACACTGTTCCGTTTCAGTCAGTGTTCCGCCACAGCTCCACGAGCGCTCGCGTACTCACGATTCATTAAAGCCGACTGAATCGCGAATCGCCACTCTCAAATTTGACGAGCAGGATCCAGCTCTAATTTAAGTGTTTAAAAGACATATTTCCCATTATGAAACTCATTGATTCACAGTGTTTGATGTTTTGGTGCGGCTTACTCTCAGAACTGTCTGTTTTTCTTCTCCACGAATGGAAAGAGAGGCATTTTTCAGCCATATTGACAAATAAGCCATCTTCAAGTCTGTTGACTTCCATAACTTCATTTAAAAGTGACTCATCGTATTCTACTTTGTCTTGCTTTCCTGTCTTATTAGTTGACTCAAGGTTGTTGTTTTTTAACGACTTTAATTTTATTCCTCAGGAGGCTGAAGGTATTGAAGCAGTTTCGGTTGGTGCTATTTTGTCGGATTATCAACGAGTTAGAGTAGAGAATGTGTAAGTATGATTGGTACACATGGGGAAATGTCTCTTTTCTGGTAAAGTCCATCTCAGGTAGTGAGGAGTAGATGTCAACAATTACAGTCTACTGATCTGTTCTTTTCTCTGTTACTATTGTGAGCTCAGCGTTGTAACTCTGTGTCAGTTACCTTTGTGTTGTCCAGAAACAAAAGAGGCATAACTGGCTGAGAGAACAATTGCTACATTAAAGTCCTTATAAGTCAAATGGTGGCGTGTAGTAATAGTTGTTTATTGTTTTTCACCTTTGGACTTAGTAGTCTCTCTTTTGAAAATGTTCACGCTGTCAAAAGGTTGATGTCCAGTCTATGATGGTAATTTTGCACCATAAAGCACTTCCTAGTAACCGTTTTCCCTAATTATTTTTGTGAGGATGTAGAGGAGTGATTACAAGAAAGGCTGTTTTCAAGCTAAGCTTTTCCGTGATTGCTTCTTTTATACATTTTAATTGAAATTGTACACAATGTCTTTCTAAACGTAATTGAACACACTCCAAGAGCCATTCATGAATGATGGATGGTTGAGGGGTGCTGCTGGTAGGTCCTGCTTCTTATTCTCCCTGTTCCCCACTGCTCTACATGATGGATATTGAGTCAATGCTTTTCTTTGCTCTCTCGAATAGTCAAACCTGCTGTAACGGCCACCAATCCAAGACAGTCACCTATACAAACAACCACTTTCCATTCTCCCCTTGAAATTTTTAACTTTATAATGACACCATCCAAGATGTCCACCTGTCCTGTAGACTACTGTCCAGGGCAACCACTTTTTCTCCTCAATTATATGTGGCCATCTTGGGGGCAATTTTGACAGTATTCAAGAATGCAACTCTCCTTTCCTTCCCTCAGCTGCCAGAGGCTGGGTCTTGTGGCGCTCTCCTATCTGTGGAGGAGGAACCAGGAGCAGCTCCTCAAGGAAATGATAGACTGTGGCCTCCGAGCCATCATCATCAAAGTAGCTGCACTTGGTATGTATCATTCCTGATACTCTTACACAAGTGAAACATCTACTGATTTATTGTTTTTTGCCATGTTGTCTTTTAGGGATTGTTATTTTTGAAAGGTCAAGAATGCTCCAGGTATGTTCTTCATTTGTTGTTTCATGAATTTGTTGTTTCTTTCCACTTTTAAAGGGATTCACGATGGAATTACAGAGCATATGTCATGGATCTTATCCTCACACTCATTACAACTGTCTTTTTTTTTTTAATGCAATGGTCATACAAACCACATGCACTATTGGTACAGGACATAGAACGTGGTTCAGTACAGCAGGAACCCTGTAATTTGTAGTTACAAAGAAAGTGGCTATTCTCACCCGCCCGGAAGTTCTCGCAAGATCAACTCTTCCCCTCTTCTTTCTCTCTCTGTCTCTTTCTGAATACTGTCTATCGGTGTGGACGATAAACAAAGTTAAAAAATGATGTTAAAACACAAAAGTAAATTAATTTGGTTGTCTACAAAGATGCTACGGCTATTTAACTTTTCGAATCGAGCCGAACTACGCGGGTCGCCATTTTGTTTTGCCCGGAAATTCTCGCGCTACTCCTCTCTCTCTTTCTCTCTCTCTCTCCACTGCCCACAGACAAAATTGTACGCTTTCAATAGGCTACAGTTGAAATGGAACGTTTGTTCACGGCACAGAATTCTACAATTTTTCCTCACAGTGTAGAATTCTATGGTTTAGGGTGAACGCAAAATTTGGTAAACGCGCACCGGGTGAGAATAGCCACAAGACTCGCCTGCACTATTCTCACTCCGGGTGAGAATAGAGGTGGCCAGTTACAAAACGTCACCTTCTATGTTTGTTACTTAATTCATTTAGCCACTCTCTTGTTTCATGTTCTTTGTTCTCTCATCCATCTATCTGAGCTTTGCATGGGCACAGTTGAACCTGCTCTAATAGTCACCTGTCCAAGATAATAACCTGTACAAAAGACCACTTCCCACTTGCATTTCGTTCTACATGATTATAATGACACCGTTCACAACGTCCACTAGTCTAAGACAACAACTTTCCTCCTCAACAGAGGATGACCTTCTTAAACAATTACAGCAGTATTTATTGCTTGATCCCCTGCTTGCTTGTTTGATTTTTTTTGTTTGGGATTGTTTTTCAGGTCTTGTTCCCAGCAAACACCTGGGTATGGAGCTGTCCGAAATATTCCCACACATGTTGAAAATGGTGAGTTCAGATGCATGTTATATTTGTTTTCGCTTCTCTGAAATTGGAAACCTCTAGGTTATAATTTTGGGATCATATTTCCGTTTTCATGTTTCTTTTCTTTTCCCTTTTATTTGGAACTAGCTGTGCATATACATGATAAATCTTGTTGGTCTTGCAGGTTTACTTTTTTTTTTAACTTGTTTTTTCTTTTTCAGAAATCGATGTATGGACTCAATGAATGTGGAGAGGGTGGGGAGTATGAAACATTTGTATTTGACTGTCCCATTTTCAAGAAATCTATTGTCATGTAAGTATGACTGCACTAACTTTGAATTGAGACCAGTTTTGTGTGGAAGAAAAAAAATATTTTTAGTTTCCATCTTAATTTTTTTCTTGAATCATCAGATTTTAAAAAACTTTCTTTGTAACATGCTTATTAAAGTCACTCTTTTTACAGAGGGGTACATTTTGTTATGTTCACACAAGTTGTCATGAACTATCTCAAAATATTGGAAGGTGAAAAATATAGTCAGGCTCAAGTAAGTTGCCAAGAGAAAATCTGTGATTTTGCTACCAAAAGATGAATCTTGACCTGAATATAGATCATTTTTCTCATCCTTATTTAGAAATGTGGCTTGTAAAGGTTTTTGTTTAATGATTATTCTTTTTTGTTTAATTGTTCATGTCATTGTGGTTGTTTTTGAAGTTTGTCAGTAGGCCTAATGCTTTCCTCCCCAGAGATGAGACAGAGAGAGTCATTCACTCAGATGATGCGTTTGCTCCTGTGGGTTATCTCAACCTGAGAAATTGTCGTCTCAAGGAAAAAGACTGGGTTAGTTTTCCTCAGCATTTTTGTTTACTCTAATTAGGCTTTTGTTCTAATACATTGTCATTAAAGAATCAAATGCTCTACTGGCAAAGTTTCTGGTGAGGCAGAAATTGTTAACAGTTTTAACAATTTTTTAGTTTTTCTGATTTCTTATTGTTTCAATATTTTTATGATATATTACTGTATGCTTCTCAGGAAGATGAGATGGTTTCAGACTGTTATGTCTTCTGAGGCAATACAAATGCTAGATTACATATAATTATGTACGTTCTTTATTTGTTCCATGTGCTTCACAGAGCTGATAAAATTTTTATTATAAGGAAAGAAAAAAAAAAACAGCGTTATGGCACCCATGGATGCTGATGTTTGAAGACCACAACCACTTTTGTTCTTTTTTTTTTTTTTGAAGACGATAGTCCTAAGAAATGCAAAAACAGATAATTGTTCTCACCTTGGCTGTTGTTGTCTTATATAACCCACAGGATGACACTGTTTCACTTCTGGCAAAAGTGGAGCAGCTTCCACTCCTCACAAGCGAGAAGTGGATAGAGCAAGCCGTTCAGGGCTGTGATGTTGCTGAGCTGGCTCAGGGTGCTGAGGGTTTGCCAGACTCTGACTGTCCCACACAGAGTGTTCAGCCTGTCTCAGGTCAGTGACGAGGGCTTCTCTTAGCTTGCCTTTCATGTGTATTGACTAGTGGTAGATTAGGCTGTTAGGCCCACAACTGAAAGGTCATGGTTTCAAACCCTTATGGGGCCTGATGTATAATGACATTTCTCTGTCCTTGGGAAAGGTACTTGACATAAATTTACCTCACTTCACTCGGGTGGGAATGGGTACCCTGCTATCGACAGTGAAAGATGTTATCAGTTTGATGGTGTTTGAGCACTTAATTAACTGCTTGCATTGTATGCTTCGTGGAAAGTTGAGAATATTTCTGAGTGTTCAAGCTTCTGCTTGGGTAATGATATAGATTGGAAGCACAGAGCTTACTGTTGAGCGGAGATTAAAGGCTATACAAACACTATTATTTTATTATATATTATAGTGTACAGTTTTGCTCTTGTCATTTAATTCTACCTGATATTTAGTATTGCAGCAACATGTCTGGCCAGGTTTCTGTAAGTGGGTGGTTGGTGGGTGCTCTGGTCTGATTTGTTGCTCAAACAAAATTAATTTTGTGTTGACGTTTTTTCCCTTACACTCAAATTATCTCTCTCTCTCTCTCTCTCTCTCTCTCTCTCTCTCTCTCTCTCTCTCTCTCTCTCTTTCTCTCTCTCTCTCTCTCCAGGTGACTCGTATGTCTCTCGTCAGAGTGATGGTGTCAACTTCCAGGTGTCTGGGGTGACTGCATTTTCCTCTGAGACAAGTGACGTGAAAGAGTTGACTAAACAAGCTATGGATAAGTTAATTGGTTAGTATGTTCACTTTTGTTTTCAACTATGTAAATATATTGAGTGTACTACATTTTTTTGTTGTTGTTGTTGTTCAAGAGCCAATTTGTATCATCTTATGATACTTTGTTAAAAAGCAATTGCTCCTTGCAACTGTGTAGAAATGAACCCATTTCACATTTTCATAAGTGCATATTTTGCTGTTGTCTGTTTTTACATTTATGTTTCAGATCTTTCAGTTTTAAGAAAATCTAGCTTTGACCCTGTTTTGATGTTTTGAGAATTTAGCACCCCTTTTTTTTTTCTCACATTTTGTATTGAGATATTTCTTAAAAGAAATTGTGCATAAAGCCTCTGGATCATAAATTTTCAGGTATTCATTACTTTTTTAATATTTCATTTGATTCAAATTTGCTTTTAGACCAGTGCTCTTTAAGACAAGCAGTACAAATTATTTTGGATTCTGTCTCAGCATTGCAGTTTTGGTTTGAAATGCTTATTTCCTTTTCTATTGTTAAGGATTTCAGGATGACTGAAGAAATTCTGTCTGTGCAATTTTCAGGGTGTGTGACCAGTTTAGGTCACAGTGCCGGAGATATCGCCTCAGTATCGCTCTATGTGAGAGACTTGTCCTGTTTTGCTGCCGTCAACTCAGTGTACAAAACCTACTTTGATATAAATCCCCCAGTTCGGTGAGGAAACTATGTTATGTTCCTTCTGAGGCATGCTTTCTTTAGTGCTGGGGGGGGGGGGGGGTGTTTCCCTTATGGTTTGTAGAGTGGATATTTATTAGATTTTGTATAATACATTTGATGGGGATGGTCATGCTTACGCCAGATTTTTCAAGAATTGATACCAATTTGTCTTTATCAAATTCAGTTTCTACCCAACCTGCATGTTTTTTTTTTCTTTGGCACCTAGGCCTTAAGTTGAAGGAAATAACTTAAGAAAACTCTATTTTGTGTTTGGCAAATTTACAAAACGTCTTTGTCAACCTTTTTACCTTTTTATAGCCATTGCCCTCTTTCGCCAATAAAAATTTTCAAACCACCCACCTACATGACGGGGACATAGAATAATAACACCTGGATGATTCCCACCAAATCGCCCACTAGTGGGCAATGCTGTCCAAACTGGCAAACGCTAGCCTAGACTGTGAAAAAATAGAAGTGTAGGGAAACTTATAACAGAAAATGTTGATATATATTTCAGGCTGTGTATTCAAGCCTGCCTTCCACCTAACGTGCCTCTCCAGCTGGACTGCCAGGGCCGGGCATCGCCCTCAGAAGACAGAAGGACCATGCACGTCCAGGCCCTCTCCCACTGGGCCCCGGCCAACATCGGACCCTACAGTCAGGCCGTTCTGGTGCGTAGAATAAAATGCTAGATTACATGAATGAATTTATTTATATTAATTTTTTTAAGGAAATGAACGGCTACACTTGTTGATAACTTAAGTAGCTAAGAATAGGCTTATAGATGATTTACTGGCAACTTATAAAATTGAGCTGATCTTTAAGTTACATTTTTGGTAAGGGCCATTGAGTGGCAGTTTTATAGGAAATCTTTAGAACTGAAAATATAGATGTTCCCATCTAGAGTGTGCCTGCTGGCAAACAAGGTAAAAGAATAGGGAATGCTGAAAATTTATTAAGAATTTACTGACAACTGTAGATTTCACCAATTTGAACAGCTGATGCTGTTCGATATATATTTTTTTAAATGCTAAATTTGCTTTCTTCAGACAGGGGACAAATTGTTTCTGGCTGGTATAGTTCCCCTGATTCCTGCCTCGTTGTCTGTGATTGAAGGCGACATCACAGTGCAATGCTCAGTGGCTCTGAAACACGTACAGGAAGTGATGAAGGCCATGCAGCCTGGTCTCGGCCTCTGTGACTGTCCACTGGTGGTGTGCTTTGTCACACACACTGACCACATGGCAGTCGCTCGACAGACGTGGAAGAAATGTGTTCAGGTATATTGGACATATTTCTTTTATTTATATGTATACACTGTCGAACCTTTTTTTTTTTAAATTGCACTTTGAGGGGGTGATTGGAGGATGCCACTGAAAAGTGTTAGCTCTTTTTTTTTCTTCTGTTGTTTCTGTCTGAGTCTGTCCATTGTCCTCTTTCCCTGCACTGAATGAACAGTACTGTGTCAATGTGCTTCTTTTCAATCAAAGGAACATTACAAGATTCTTTGACTCAGTTTCTTTTTGAAGCTCACTCTAAAGGCTTCACATAGGTAGCTGATGACTTGGCATGGATGCCACGAAAGTTGTGACTGCATCAAGATAGGTTATTTGCTAAGCACTCCTGTTTGGGAGAGTATTTAAACTTGAATACTTGTAGCCTTGTCCTGTTATTGGAGGAAAACTGTAAATAAATAAATAAATATTATACTCATGCATTGTGCTTTTAGTAATACTTTCAGACCAGCTCTTATGATTACCTGTCCAAGACAATCATCTGTACCTATGACCACTTCCAACTTCCACCTTGCATATATTTTTTTCATATTAAGATGACACTGTCCAAAATGTCAGCCTGTCTAAGACAACTAGTTTTCTCCTCAATAACAGTGGCTGTCTAGGATAATTTCAACCGTACATGTTGTACATATACTGTTCATTGTACTATAGGTAAACTATTCTGTAGTTTTACATCCGTATGTCCTCAGAATTCTTCAGATGTGATCACGCACCGAGAGCTTTCCCCACGTGTTCAGTACTGTGTGGTGCCCGCCTTGCCCAAAGCCTGTCTGGTGGAGTGGCAGGTGTTTGCCTGGACGTCCAGTACAGAGGAAGAGGACGGAGAAGAAGGAGAACTCTCAGGTAGTTTTGGGTTTTTGCATTTTTAGGACATAAACCTGGTGTAAGCTCAAGATAAGATTCATTTGGTCAGGCTTAGAAGTTAAAATTCGCTTAGAAAGATAATTTAAGTCAAATGATCATATGTGAGGCAGCGTGGTGAAATCAGGCGCTCGTCAAAATAACGAAATTGGAGAAACTGGAATTTTCCAGCCAGGTTGAAAATTTTTATCGAATTTTTATTTTTTGGCTCAACCCCTTTTATGTCCTTACAAAAACAACAGATTTCCATGTGAATTTTATTGAAAGACATTGGTTAAAGGCACAAAACGAATAATTTTTCTGTTTTCAAGGACTCTTTTGCTATTGGAGTTACCAAACTTAGACGGCCATCTTCTCGCTAATTTCACCACTGAAACTAGGCGACCTCACTTCCTTCAATCGCAGTAACTTGATTTTTATTCAAGATGATTGGAAATTTATTTCATTGGAAGCAAGACAAATGAATCAGCTCTTTAAGATGATACCAAAAACTCAACACGCCCAAAAATTGACGAACGCCTGATTCCAACGCGTTGTGACACATATTATTATAGATAACGGGGGGGATCAATTGTTGATGGTATCAGTTCATGGCATGTGCTTGTAAAAAAAGGTCAAATTCACAGATACTTGTTTGAGTTTGTGAGGATGTGTTTTAGTGCTGAAAGCTTATACTTATTTTACTGCAAGTACCGTCAAATGCTTAATAAAAACAAACGAAAGCTTCGGGAGCTAATAAGATGATTTAATGAGCCCCCTCCTCCCCTAAATTTGTATTTGTATTGAAAAAAGAAATTATGAGGGGGGTGGGAAGTGTTACTCGGCCAATTTCCAGTATCTTGACCAATGGAGATGAACGATTTGCAGTGTATTGACAAGCACACAGCAATGTCTGATTCCTATGTGTCTATCACTGTTCAGTAACACTGAGAAAAAAATTATGGCTTTCACATCTGAGTGTCTTCTGACATACCACTCCCAGAACAGTCATGCGGTCCTTATGTGTATGTTTCAAAGTCTTTATTTCATTGTTGTAATGTGTATTGATGCTTGTCAAAGAATTCTGTTTTCTCTTGCTAGCACCACTCTGCACACACATACACACACACACACACACACACACACACACACATATCCACGCTCACGAATATAACCCCCCCCCCCCACCGGTGCCATTGACTGAAGTGTCTTTAGGCCATTCCCAAAGGGGGGACATTTCTCGTTCTTATGCACAGTAGAATTGTAAATGGGCTGATTCTACAATGTCACACTCATAACTGTACCTGAACTACAACAGGGAACTGCTGTTTTTTCTTTCCTAATTCCTAATCCTTACTATCATCATTTTCCTCTACTTCTTTTGTATGTTTGTCACACTCATGTGACCCGCTATTTCCGGGGTGCCTTGAAAGTTGAAATAGACTTTGTGCTGTTGAAGCAAGAGAGGTGAGCAGAGTAAGCCTGATTCCCTATAAAGACTTGTCTGTCGACATCCATCCCTTGGCGCTCATATGACGTTATGCAGTTGCAAACGTTGTAAAACCTCTACTAAATAAATAAAGATACATACAAATATTCTTTAGTCCTTTTTTTTTTTGCTATAAGACATGGCGAGGCACTTTTTGCTTTGGTATTTGTCAGTCCCTAATGATTTTGTTATCTTTTCAGCTAGCGCAAGTTCTACTCAGCCTTGTGAGAAGTGGACCGTTGAAACGAGCTGCGTGTGCAGTCAGACTGTTGGGGAAACATTCTCCTGTCAGATTTGCCTTGGTGAGTTCTTGTGGTCACATGAGAGATGCCAGCTCAAAATGTAACTTAACCCAATTGACCCGAGCGCAGCCTCAGCTTTTAGTTATGTAAATATAGTTCTGCACCCACAGGAGCTCAGATGTACATGTCTAAAGGCGCAAGCTCAGAGGTTTTAAAAGGTTAAGCTTCAGGACTTTAATTTAGGAAGTCAATCTTTACAGATATTTCAAGAACTTTTTAAACTGTTTGAAACCAATCATAATAACATGAGTGCCCATAAATGTATTTGCTATAGAAATGATTGTGGCACAAAGCTTCAGTTTTATTAATGATGGCTAACTTTTTAGTAATAGAAATATAGATGTAGATTTACTTTAGGTGCTATGTTCTATACCCTTACAGTTACAGCCTCAGTCTAGTATATTTCCCTCTCAAGTTTTTGATCCCCCTGGCCATGTTGTGTTTAGTTTCCTCAATCGGCGTTGGCCACCTCAACAAACCCAGTCGCGTATTTTTATTGTAATCTATCCAATTGTCTTTTAAAAAATATTCTATGTTTTTTCGTTTAAAACTTCAAACAGAAGAAGTATAGAAATTTTTTTAGCGCCTGCAAAAAAATTACAGACAATCCGGCAGTCATTTTTTTAGAAATACAGTATGCAGTTTTACGGGAGAGCCAAAAAACTTAATGCTGTTACCAAGAAAACAGCATTTGCTTTTAAAGATAATAAGGAAGTTATCATCAAAATTGTATTCTTAAAAAATATTGACAGGGGATGTTTGCAAAGAGTTTGTTTTCTTAGTAACAACAATCAGTTGTTTTTTTGTTTTTTCCTGTAAAATTGTAAAAGCTGCACTTCCTGCGGGTTTTTTTTTTAAATGACGGCAGAATCAGTATCAATTGAGTATGTGGGATCAAAGACCCCAGCATTACAAAGGCTAGAGGGAAATGATGGGTAAACATAGCCTGATGCTATAAGTTGTAAAAGTTAAAGTTAAAGCTGGTTTGGGGCACTTCATCCAGCAACAAAGCTGTGACAAAGCAGGGCCGTGTGTTCACCAGCACTGAAGTGTTTCATCTTGTCAATGTACACACGTTTGTTTTCTTGTCCTCCAGAATTGAGGAATGGTGCAGCAGTTTTGCAGATGGACTCCTTAGATGCTGAGTCAGCAGTGAAGGATTTGGTACAAGAATACCTGCGATTACAAGGCCAGCGTAGTTCTGCACAGTCACCACCACTAGCCAAAGTGTTTTATGTGTCCCGTCTCTTTGATTACGATCAGTTACACAAATGTGAGTAGCGTAAAGTTCCTTCTTAAGTTAATGCAACTAGAATCATTCCATTTGTATGGGTTTTTGTAAAACTTAAACTTGTTGGCCTGTGTGTTAGGGGGAAGGGGAGGGGCTGCTTCCTTATTTTGACCAGGTGGAAACCAAGTTGAAGAAATATTGATAACAAAACACCACTTTTCTTTTATTCCTGTGGTAAAACCTAGGTGAAATGCGTCCATAGATTGACTCAAAGGTTGCATCTTCAGTACATAATGAGCAATATCACAACGCAGACAAAATAAATACACCATCGCCTGGTTTGTGTGGTTGGATGCTGTGCTTTTCATTTGGATTAATTATGACTTTTCAAGGGTATTGGTGGTTGGCAGGTGTTCTGGTATGGTGGTCTCCTTTTTTCACATCAAACTCAAACATCTATCATCCATATATATATATTATATATATATATAATATATATATATATCTCCTCCTTTTCTTTGATTCATGTTACTCTCTTGTAACACTTCTGATCTTCAGAACTTACATTATATGACCCATTTGTGTTGCAAATGCTGTAAACTCTTACTTGAATTAACTGTTATTACAACTATTACTGCCACTGATCATCGTTATTAAATTCTACCACTACAACCTTCACTTTACTTTTTCCACCACTTCATAGTATACCACTATAACCAAATAATAACAATAGGTATAATATTAGCAAAGTTCTTTTCACAAGTTCAAGTTAATTTTAAAAATTTTGTCTTCATTGCCTAAATTGTTTTTGTTATTATGATCGTAATTTGAGACCATTATTGTGTTTCTGCACACAGGTTTCCAGCGTACTTTGTCCTCACTAGTAGCTGAAAACTCCAGGCCTCCCGTGGTGTCTTTGGTTCCTGTGGTCAGCCTCGACTCTCCCCGTCAGCTGATGGCATGGTGTCAGTGATTGTGCCTGCTGTTTTATAGAATTGTCGAAGATTGATGGTCACCATCAAGGACTGCTGTCAGTGATTATGTTATGATGTTTGGTTTTGTTTGAATAAAGAGAAGCACATCGACACGATAATGGTCATTGATTTTGTGCTGGGAAAAAGTAAGACAGACACACTGACTGAAACAACAGATGGAAAGTAAAGATGTGAAACATACCTGTGGCACCCTCCAACCACCTGCTTGATTATGTTAGATTACTCTCAAGTGTGCTGGTTGAACTGGATAAACCATCACTGAGTAGTGGAAAACTAAACCTCTTTTTTTTTTTGTGTGATGAACAGACAAAAATTGGAATAACACATCAATCATACAAATTTTCGCTTTTACGCTGATTTGTTAGAGCTGGATGTTTGGCATCTTTTTATGGCAACTTGTTCATTTTATGTTTGGAGTAAGGCTCTGTGTAATGGAGATTCTCAGGATAGACTACCTAAAATTCTCCCGCAGGATGAATGTAATTGTTCGCTGTGCTAGATGCAGCTCGCAGACCGAGAGTTCACATCTGTGATGGAGGTGGTCACTGACACTGACAGGGATTGTTGTCAGTTATTATGTAACTAATCACTGTCAGGTCAGGGATTATAAATAATCAGCATTTGTGGTGTAGCAATTAGTATCTTTGGCATCGCATGCAGAAGATGCGAGTTCTCTCTGCAAGGACACTAGATCGCTCACTCACTGCCTGCGTGGGTTGACCCCAACTGGCAGAGTTTAAGCAGCCTACCTCCCAAAATGACCTACATAGTGTCAATGGGGGCATAAAACATTTTCTGTTACATCAATTATTACCGCCAGGGATAAATGTAATTATCAGTAATCAAGTCTGAAGACATTAACAGTGATGTTGTGTGTGTCAATGAAAAACAAGAACTAAGAAATAAGTAGAAATAGAAGAAAATCTTAGACTGGTACCTTCCAGTTCTTTGTAATTGATTTGACTGTTTTGACGAACATTGTGATGGTTGTTTGTGTAAAGTGTAAATAAATGCTTTCTTTGCACATATATATTGTTCTCTCTCACAATTTCTTTATAATTAGACAATGGGCTTTGTTCTTCAGTTCTTCATTTCAGTATCATTTTCACTTCAGTCAGTGCTTTACATTTGCAAGGATAACAGATCATGTCCACTTATTTAATTTTATTTAATTGTTTAGCCCCAGGGGAGTAGTCCTGATACATGCCCCGAAATCCTATAACAAGGATGATAATCCTCTAAAAATAAAAATATAGCCTAAGGCATAAATTTTCATTTTAAAAAAGTAACTTTACATTACAAAATGCTCGGGAAAAAAACGCAGCTACATTAGGAAAGAATATTGCTTACAAAGTAACCAACTCCTCTAGTGAGTGAAAAGTAGACTGAGATGTACAACTTTCAACGTGTCTGTTTGGTCAAGATCGCTTCTCGGCCTGAATTTTTTAGTATTTTTTAAGTTCTCTTGAAGTGTTTTACGGCGCTCACAACTGCCTACGGTCATATGAGCGCACAGGACAAACTGAATTTTGCCCATGTACAACTTGCACACGACCTCCGAGATTTTTCGCCCTCATCCATGAAGGCTAGGTGTTACATCTTACCTGCCATAAGATCAGGGGTGTGGCTGTATAAAGGAGCCAAGGGGTAGCAGTAGAAAGGCCACAGTCAGTCAGGAGCACAGAGGAGATGGGGGCAGAAAGTGGAGATGAAAGCAGACGACAGAACATTGAGAGTAGAGAAGGAAATGAGGTGAAAGAAGAAAATTTTAGAGAAGAAAATCTTGTCACTGTTCGTATTCGAACCCAAGACATATTGAATGAGAGTTGAACACTGTTACCTCTCAACCACGAGAGCCCCTCAAGAACAACTCTACTTTTGCTCTATACCTTGTCTTCAGTCGTTCTTATTGGACATTGTGCCTAGACCTCAGAAATGTAAGCCACGGCAGTATCAAGTGTCCGACTTGCATTCGGCAATTGTCACAAGTGAACCTGCTGTAACCTCTAAATCGATTGACTCTGCACGCCACTCTAAATGCCAAATAGATGATGTTGAAAACAAACACAAACATACACACAAAAAGAATAATTTAAAAACCCAGGATTTGACCATGAGACCTTTATTTTCTTATTTTTTTCTTTTCTTTTGAATTTAAAACTTTACATCATATACAAATAACGTTTTAAAAAAAGATGGTGAGGAAAAGAAGCCAGCTTGCAGATGGTTGTGCTGATTACATTCTTTATGTTACACACTGCCCAATGTATTGCACAAAATAATTGAACACAGAATTTAAAAATGCAAGAAACACAAAAAGGCATGAGAGCAAAAAAAAATATTTTCAAATAGAACTCTGAACTTGTAGATCAGACGATGCAAAATGAATAACATACATTTCAAAGCTGCAAATCATATATACTCTAAACCTAGTGTTCACATAGCCAATCTTGTCTCCATTGCGTTAGACAAGTATAAAGCAAATCTTGTGTGTTTTTAGACACTCCGCCCACACCAAAAATAGCTGCATCTCAAATACAATGCCTGATGAAGCATTTTTCAATGTCTTAAGCCAAAAAGCTTCTGACAAAAGCAATATAAGATTTGAACTGGACATGCTTTTATTTGGCTAAGTTCTTCAGCAAGAGAAAAAACAATCCAAGAGAAAAAACAATCCAAAACCAGGTACATGAGCGTCACAAGAAGACAGGTCAGCCTCACCAGATGGGATAAACAACTCTCTAAAAACTCAACAGTTTATCATCTGTATCATTCTACAATCGCCCATAGAATAGAAATTATTCAAAGTCATATCTTTCTATATAGTTCAGTTCAGCTTCTTTATTTTCCTTGAAAAATAATATTGCCCTAAATTGTGTTTCAATTTTGGCACCCTCTTTTTCCTTTATTTTCTAAAAATGACTGTGCTTGTGGAAAGGCGCTGATGACAATCACTGCCAAGAATGCTACCGAAGAATTCAAAGAGTAGCACTGACATGTGGCCAAAAGCAATACTGTGTCCTGTAACACAAAATGTTTACAACTCTCGTGGAACCTCTAAACTTCTACACTTCATTGTCCAAAGCAGTAGGCATGACCTTTTTAAAACTGACCGCTCAGTAACAATGCCGAAGCATATCAACATAAAAAAAACCCACTCAAAATTTTGATTGCAACATGGACCTGAATGATGAGAAAAATATTTAAAAGACAAAAACAATAAGCAGTACATCTTCACGGGGGTAATTCTAAACTGAAACAAGAAAATTGCTTTTTCTGCAGTTCGGTTTAACTGATTACATAACACTTCCCTCAAGCACAGGGGATTATTTTTTCTCATGGTTTGAGGGGCGGCATCTGCATCATTTGGAAGAGCTTTGGGAATGAAAATTTCTCAGATTAGAAAAGTCCAGTCGCTGAGGCCACTGATCCAAAAATGAGCATGAATTATGAGATGTTTTGATGATCACTGCAATTACAAATCGGGCACAGATAACTCAAACACGTACAGTAGGGGATTGACAAACCATGTGTTTCACACATCCATAATTCAGGAAAACCGATAAAACATAATATTAGTAAAGAAATATCAGTTTGGGAATGGTAAATTGTTCAAGATATCAACGATTTTCTTTATTTTCCAGGTTTGTGATATCTGTGCCCGACTGTATTGATTCCCGGACATTTTTTAAATCTCAAAAAAAACAAAACATTTTCGTTGTGAACTGGTGTTACTTCATCAACCTAGAACAATAGAGATGACGAATACAATTCTTTCTTATGGTGAGAGCTGAAAAATGAATACAATCCCATTGAAAGTTTGATTACAAAACAATTGGCAAATCACAAGTAGAACATTTATTCTACTTAAACACTGTAAAATAACTTGGAAGACATATTAAGGAAGGCATCTACATTTGCAAAACTCAGTACAAGCCATTCACCTATTGTGTACGATGTCATTCCTAATACACTGTAATAAAGAAAGCAATGTCCCATTCTCTCTCTCTCCCTCACACTCTCTCTCTCTCTCTCCCTTTGTGACAGCTTATTTAATATATACACAGTGTAGACACAAGCAGCAATCAACCATTTAACCTCACTTGAGACAAAAGAGACCCCCAAAAAATACATGAAACAAACCAAACAAAAGCAAAATTTAAAAAAGCAGGCTAGAGTGCTGAAATAATTATTGAATAAATAGAGTTCAAGAGTAGAAAACAATCTATGAGCATCCGATTATAGAGAGGTACAGTTTGGTATATCAGAGATTACGGTACACTGCAAGGGGATCGATGGAATAATAATAATGAGGATAATGAAAATGATGATGACATTTGGTAAAATCCTAGAATATCCAGCTGTGCTGAGATCTGATCAATTCATTCTTGGCTTTGAAAGACACACATTTCATTGCAAAATTTCCGTCGCACAATCATTGCGTCTTAACTTTGAGATAACAAAACATGTAGACATTGATTAGTGTGTACGTGGGGTTCAACTTTCATCAAATTCCTTTCTTTAAAAACCAGAAGCCATACTGAGAGTGCATGATACAAAGAGTGCTTGTGCTCTTGGTATAATCGATAAATTTGGACTCCCGGGAGACGGTAACTCTTGTCATCTTTGTGTGAAACAATAGCCCAACATGACAGAATCACAATGGTTACGCTACCCTAGCCATCCAAACTACTCAGTTCTTTCCCATTCATATTAAAGAACGCCTTTCTAAAACACAAATTCCCTCATATCGGGCCAGGAGTAAAAGTATTCCACAAAGATGAGAGGAATTTGGAGGCCACGCCGTACATGAATCACCTCCAAGCCAAGATTATGAATGAACTGTACCACAATAACACCTGTCCAGCTGTACTGCCCAACAACATAAGCAACCAGTCAACAATGCCAACACTCGGGCCTAACAAATCTTTGTCTTGATGAACGGCTCGGATACCCCAAAAGGCTATGTCGATAAGAATACAGTTGAACCTGCTCTAATGGTAATAGCCACCAGTTTAAGACAATCACCTGTACAAATGATCACTTCCCACTTCCCCCCTTATGTTTTTTCCCTTATATTATATGGCCACTGTCCAAGACATCCACCTAGTTTAGACAACCACTTTTCTCCTCACCAGTGGGTGGCTGTGTTGGACAGCTTCAACTAGATTTTGAAACATGGTTTCCGAAATCATTGTTTCAGCTGTATAGAAAGGATTTTGGTGACATGAATACAACCGAATCCTTTGAAAAGACACAATGGCAGGAACAAGAATTATTGTGCTGATTATACGACACAAAACTTGGATGTTTGATCAGAGACAACTAGAAATAAAAAGACTGTACATAGACTTAACTTTTGACATCATAATAAATTTGGACACATAATATTTTTGATGGTAAGAATATTTAAAATTCAAGTTCTTACTACATAAGCGAAGCTACATTTTCATTTGAAAGTTTTAACTTTTAAAATACAGATTCAAACAAACTAAACAAGAAGACAAAAGTCTATATTCTTGGAAATAATTTAACGCTATAAAGCGAGAGCAAGAGAGTGGTTTGAATATGTACAAAAATTAACCGAGATCAATTTTACTGAGTATAAGAATAAGAGCACACTGCTTTACTTTCGTAATTCATGGTAAATGAAAAAAAATCCCCATAATAGCAACTGTACACTGAAAGAACTTGACAAAACAAATAAAAATCATTTACTTCTACAATGCAGGAACTTCACTATAGAGCTTGACACTGAAACCAGTCCCCGTCCCCTTCCCCTTGTATGAAATTGTAGAGTTATGACATACTTGATCCATGCATCACTTGCCATTTACCAGCTGGAGTCTTTTCCATGAAAGACTTGAACAATTCGCTGCCGGAATAGAATCTAAACAGTTATGCACTTCAGACATGTATAGGAAGACCTAGCCACTGGAATATTTTGTTAGTTCCGACTGCATCTGCTCAAAAACCTAAGTGCATTTTGTACTGCATATGGCATCCAGGTGGGAAACTGACTAACATAATAGAAACCTACCTTTTACAACAAACAGGTACTTATTTTTTAAAACAAATAAAAATAAGTTAATCTTTCTGCCTCCATCCGAATTCATATTTAACAATAGAAACTCGTAAATACAAAGCTTCAGCAACAAAAAATGTTTTCTTGAAAATTCTCCATGTTTAAACTAATAGGAAGACCACTCTGTCCAACAAATACTACATTCTACAGATTAAAGCTTAAGAATTCCATTATTACACAGAACACTCTTTCTTTCTTCACTAAACATCCAATTAAGTGACAGAGAAGTAAAAACCAACAAACAAAGCACCCCAATATGCACTCCACAGAAAGTGTCACTTAATAAGGATACATGCCCATTATATCCTCACAAAAACAAGGGGTTGAATGAAGTGCATGCCAACAACCCTACACTTGCGTCATCTTCAAACTACATAACAAACTTGCTGCGTATCAAATAAACGTTCCGTAGTAACTAAAAAGGTAGAATAACATCCCCACATAAGCGCTGCAATTGTCATCCATTCAACAAATCTGAAAAGAGAAAAGAAAACCTTCCCCACACAACAACATATTTCATTTTAAAAATGCATGAATCGTATGATCATTATCGTCATCTTCGTCGAGTATTTAACTTTGCAATACAAATGCCATTCAGATGAACACGATTACAGTCTTTGTGTCATGAGAAATCAGTGAGCAAATTCACCTAGTGCTCTCTCACACGTGTGCAAGTTTGCATAGCACCAAACACTCAACACACAAGGAGCAGGACTAGAAAAGCACCTTCCATTACACTTACATCCATAGAAAGAAGGGCCTCAACAAACAAAACAATTGGGTAAAGCATCTGAACACAGTGTTTGTAAAAAGGTAAATCCATCATCATGTCACTAGTTTAAGGAAAGCCCAAAGCACAAGACTGAGAGACTGTAGCGTTCCCTACACTAGTTAGTACACAGCGAGTAGAGGAAATGGTGTCAGCTGAGATACACACTAAACCTCTCATACATAATCTAGTAGCAACAGACTGTTACATCAACCTCAAAACAAAGCCGGTAGAGATTTACTCGCATATGGTCTGCAATGTATTGCCCCTATTTCATGTCCTAAAAAGCAATATCAATCCTTTTTTCTTCCTCTTTTTTTTTTACACAACTTCAACAGCTGTAAAGATTTGTTTGGCTCTTCACTTGACTTTTAAAACAACTTGCTAATTAAATAAATAGTCCAGATTTTATTTTCCCTTTCAAAACAAGTAATCAATAAGATTGTTTTTCACTTAAATCCCTAAAGACTTCTGAAATGACCCCAAAAAAAGGAGCATTTCTTTAATTCACATCATAGACTTCCTTAAACACAAACATTTTGCTCATTAAGTTAGTGCTAGATCTGTATTTAATGATATCATTCAGCACCTTCCATTTTTCAGCGTTCTACAAGTGAAAACTAAACGGGAGTCCAAAACATGGACTAAAATCATGATCTTTTCCTCTATACAGACCTCAGCTGATTGAAACTATATTTCCGTTTTATTGTATTTTTTACTACAAAAAGACATTTTTTATTTCATATATACCTGTGAAGATTTTTTTTTCCACCTCAACTATGCCTGCTTTCACATTTAGTTAAAAGTGGACAAAAAGCATGTATTTCACAGTACAGCCAGTTATCTTGATGTTAAAAGAAAAACGGAGCAAGCACACAGCTGAGAGTGCGCCCCTCCCCAAAGAGCAGTAGCAGAGACTTTACAGCAGTCTCGGTAGAAAAACAGAGAGGAGCTGAGCCCATGAGGACTAAATGAACACCTTGTGGTAACCTGTCACAGCACATACAATAGCAGTCAAGTCTTTTGACACTTGCCAATACAACATCACTATCATTCAGTGGTGGTGGTGGTGGTGGTTGGGGGGGGGAAGATACACTGCGCTTAAAGAACAAACCATTTATTCTACTTCTTTACTCTTTGGCTTTCACAATCATATATATAATAAGCAGAGTATGACAAGCATGTTGTGTGTCCCTAGCAGCTATCTGACCCATCAGCTCCACATAAAGATCACTGTTGCTAATGTTACACAATACCTCATTCCTACCAGTAAAATTTAGTTGAATACAATGAAACTGCTGAAAACCCAATACACAGATATTTTACAAAGAAAAAAATAAGGACCAATACCAAAAAAAAAAGGGTTCAACCACTGATGACTAATCTCTTAGCCGCCTTTCAAGAAATGCCTTCACAAGCAAAAGATTGGTCTCCTGCTCATTTCACCTTTTAAGGATTCAAAACTCTTTCCTTCTCATAAATTCTCAGCCAGTATTCTTGTAGGCTTTTATTTCTTAAAAAAAACACTACAAAACTACAAATCCTACATTTCACTTTCGGGTTAGAAAACAGGACCATCCAGCCCACTGGTACACATTATGTAAGCATTACGAGAAAGCTGCAATATTTTTTCACCGTTTCTACTAGACCCTATTCCAGTTGTATGTTTTATGGCACTATCAACTCTATTTTGGTCACATTGATGCCTTGAAAAAGATTTACATAATCACAAGAAAACTGGAAACCGTAGTTAACCATTTATTCACAGCATTCACACCATGACCAGCGGGGACACACGAAACACAAGCAAGGAGCCCATCAAGGTGTCAAACAACACTGTGCTACAAGTTTCAAAGGTTCATTTTCTCATCAATTTAACATTTTAACAACATTACAAAATCTCACTCTCCACACACACAAAAACATTTCAAAATTGTTATTTCAAGCAAACCAACTAACAAAAAATTCCCAACACATATAGTTCATCATGACATGTAAGGCACCTTATGATCATAATACTTCTTTACAACAATAGAGAAAAAAGTGCTCAAAACTTTCCCCAAACCTTGCCCCAATCAGACACAAGAAAAAGTATAGTCTCACAGTCTCTCTCCACATGAACTAGCAGCAGCACAGAAGCATCTATGGCGACAAAAGTCCTCTGGAACAGTAACAGTTAGAAAAGCAGTAGAGTAGGACTATTCACAAACTTTAAACAAGAGCTCAAAATGGCAAAGCGTGAACTCAGTTCAAGTCAGCCTGATGCATATATTCACGAAAGTGTCCTCCTCCAAATAGGGCACTTTATCAAGTGAGCTGAATGCAGCTATCACACTGCACCCCACCCTGGAGTGTATTGAAGCACTCAACACCGAAGGGGGTCAGCAGCCACACCCTAGGACTTGTGAAGAAACCACAGTAAGACCATCAGTAAACTTCCAACACAATCTTCGCGTGGCCGCCAGATTCACGCCAACAAGTATTCAACACCAACAAGACAATAGACAACAAAAGCTGGTGGTCAAGTATCAGTCCCTCACTCATCAACTGTGCGGGAGGGATCCAAGCATCTTGACCAGGCATTGTCATACAGACAACTGAGGTTAACACTTCTCCAGTGCATGTTCTGTTATTATACGTCAACATTTTGGTTTGACTCCGCTCTGCTATCTGTGAAAAACGGCACTTGTGGTGACTACCCTCTAACTCCATTGGCCTTTTGAGCTCATAAACAAGTGAAGTAAACTTGCTCCTAAGTAGAGATGGGAATGTAGAGTCTCTTGCAGAAGTATCTTTGGGACTGTCAAGTGACCCATCACAACACACACTGGAGAAGTGTCACCATAAAAAAGACAGGATATCTCCGTTGTTGAAAACAAAAACAAACAACAACACACACTTTGGTATATTGGTGCTTTGTCAAGCTGAACACTTTTGTCAGTAAAAAGAAAAAGAATAGTTGCTGCAAAGTTTGAGGGGAGAAAACATAATAACATAAACTAAACCAGCACCAACAGAAAAATGAAGTTTTTCTTAAACAGCCATATTCTTTATCAACAGTGAGGTTACTGTACCCATCAACTGGCAAGCATACCCGTGAAACAAATAACCTGAAGTAAGTTAGAAAAAACGTTTTCCAAGGTGCGCAAAGCACCTTGAGACATCTTCAGATTCATGGAGCTTCCAATTTCCGGCAAAATTTAAGGCATATAAAGTTTGCCACACCTAAAATTCATTGCTACAAAAAAATTCATGTCTCTCGGAAATACAACTATTGACAAAAACAGTCAACAGTACATTACAAGTTAATTAAATGCACTGACGAGTCAAGGATACAAGAGGCTGATCACTACAATTACAGGCTAACAAGAGGGGAAACAAAGGAACCATGAAGAACCAGGCTAACAAGAGGGGAAACAAAGGAACCATGAAGAACCAATGTGTTCCCAACTGTCAACAAAAATGCAGACAGCTCCGTAAGTTTTGATTTTGCTTTTGAAGATCTAGAATGAAAGATATTGGGACAGCAATAATTCCTCTACTGTTATAACTGAACATAACACTAAATAGCACCTCTATCCCAGGGGGAAAAAATAACCTTATGCAGAGGAAAACTCAATATTTTGACCAAAATAGCGGCTTTTATGATTTTAGTCTTTTCTAGAGAAAAGCAACTTTAAGCAGTCATTAGCAAAAGGAATCTTTTTACAGAGAAAATGCAACACATCAACGATATAAACTTTGCACAAAGTGCCTTCGAATGTCTCTATACGACACTTGGTACAAGATTTATATCAACGACATGTATACCATCGTTGCGAGTGTTAAATGTCTAGAGAGACAAAAAGGACAAAAAGAAAGGGGGAAAAAATAACTCTGATCGTCCATACCAAATGACAGAGAAATATCAATTCTTGTCACAGTTTTGGCAAGTTGATAAATAGTTAACAAATTGCAAAGACGGGCAAAAGCCTGAGAGAAGTGAGTTCACAAATATCTACTTCCATGTCTACTGGTATAAAACACAATGCAGAGTAACAAGTCTAAGGGAGGCCAGTGCTCATTCACAGACAGTCCGAGATGCTAGGACAAAGCCGCTTTCTTCTTGGAGAACCGGGTGAAATGAGGACTCTTGTGTGCAGCCCCCGGACTCCCGGCCGAAGATACCGGAGTGCTCCGACCACTCAGACCAGACTTGCTGCTTGAGGTTTTGCTTGAGGGGAGAACCGTCTCCTCCAGGAGGCTGCTGCAAGTGTCGGTCGGGGCAGAAGACACTTTTTCGTTGGCAGCTGCAGAAAAATCCCCAGCCAGACTTCTACAGGCTGATTTGACCGGCGCATCTCCAGCTGGAGTAAGCTCCTCTCCACTGACGGAACTCAATGATGACAAACTGGGTTGACTATCGGCAATGAGGCCGACTGGTTCCTTAAGAATCTGCTCTGGTGACGGGCTCTTGGGTTTATTCAGCTGAACGTTATTAGATAAAAGCTCATTTGGAGAAGAATCGTCCTTAACAACATTGTTGTTGTTATTCAAATTGTTGGCATTCGATGAGGAAGAAAATACATCCTGTGTAACCACCATGTTTTCTTCAGTGTCTTTATTTCCTTTCTCAGCAGTAGAACTTTTCAACTTTGTCTTGGTCACACACTTTTTCTCACCAGCACTCGTTACTCGTTTCTTCTGGGTTTTACTGTCGAGTGCGGTCTCAGACTTACCAGCAATAATGTTCTTTTTGGTTCCAAAACTCTTAGAGAGTTTCAATTTTTTCTTAACAACACCAGCCTTCTTCAAACCTTTTGGCCTGCCAGGAGGCGCTTTCGACTTTGCAGCTGAATTTGATGAAAAACTCGAGTCTTTCTCTGCTGATGATTTTGAAACACCAGATTTAAGTGGCTTTGCAGCCACCCCAGCAGTCCCTTTAGTCTTGGTGTTTTTCCGTGGTTTGAGGAGGGAATACTCCTCACTGTCGTACTTGCCATTGCTGCCCGCATTTTTCCTTTTGCTGAATCCCCTCTTCCTCTGCGAGCCCTCTTCTTTTTCCTTGGGCTCCCGCTTCTTCTCTGATTGTGGCAGCTGTTTCTTCCTGACTTTTTTCTTGTCTCCAGCCTTCCTCTTGGACTTGGCCTCCTCCCTCACCTCTCGACCGTCCACGCTGTTGGAGTTGCTGGTGCTGCTGCTGCTACGGTTGCTCATCAAGAGCCCGGCCAGGTTGAGCAGAGCGTTTGCGCCTTCCTGAATCTTCTTTTGCTCGTCGTCTTCACTGTCGTTGGGAGCAGAGGGCTTCGAAGCGCTTCCAGAGTTGTCTCTGTCCATGTCGATCTTCAGCTTCTTTGTAGAGGGAAGGACTCCATCCACCTCATCTTTGTCGTCACTGTCCCAGTCACTGTCAGACTGATAATCAGACTCGCCTTCCTCATCTGTGAACACAAAAGGAAACCAATGTGAGGAACAAAGGGCAAACAATACACAAAAGTCTCTAGCATGTTTAGGACATTGCCATCCTTAAGCGGCAGGGAAAGGAAAAAAGAAAAATAACACAAGGACATAAAATATAACACTTTAAATGGTTTACAGCAGTCACTCCATTCAACATTGACTGAATGCACACGAAAAAGCCTGTACATTCCATAGACTCCATTAAGAAAGGTGGTAACTCCAGTGGCAGATCACTTGGTAGCTTAACTAATCTACGTAAACTGTTTACATTCAAACTGATTATAAAAAATGTTATGGTTGGAACATTTCCTCTTTCTTTTTCTATTCTCACAAATCTCACAAGGACAAAGTTAACTCCTAAACTTAAGCATAAAAAGAAAAATCAGTAACATTTTCGAATTTCTAGGCCAATCTGCAAAACCAGCAAACGTCTCTTCAAGAAAACAAGTGTGTATGACAAGATCAGCTCTTTTCAAACGACTGAAAGCCAAAAAGCCTGCAATCTTAACAAAGACAAGCCAAATAAAATTTGGAAAGAAGAATAAACAACCCAACCTCAAGCCAAAATTGAATTACTGAACAGTCTCAAAGGATAAAGGAATCATGTCTTGGGTAAATAAGATACCTAAACTCTAACACCAATCAAATGTGGGGGTATGGTTGGACTTAATCATTAACCCTATCCGTACGAACTGGGGTCATTTTGTACCCCCCTCGGTTGTATTTTTCACATTTGAAAATACTTCTAGTACGAAGATATCTTTGAAACTTTCAGTATTTCTCAAAAAAATCATTTTGACAGACTGCTAAGCAAAGCGTACGGATTGGATTAAGGAGTAAATTTCCTCTTGGAAAGTGATGGCACATAGTACCCCACGTCGTATGGATACAATAGTAAAACATGACGTACGGATAGGGTTAAAAAACAACAAAAGGCTCATTTTTGGCAAGACTGATAATTGAAGGGGGGGGGGGGAAAAATGAAGAACCCAGTGTGAACAATAAGAACAGCAACCACAAATCTGATACCAGTTACACAGTGGCTTACAATGCAGGGGAAGGGTCGGGCAGGAGAGAACACTGTAGGGATCACTGATATCCAAGTCTTTAAAAAGTTCCTCCGCCGTTACCACAGTATGTCTCAACAAGCAAGACAGTACTGAAACATGCAGGCGGCCATATGTGCCTCTTGTTCAACTTGATTGTGTGTTATTGAGAATGTACTTCTTTTTCGCAAGATGGACAGATGCATTTTAAATTTCAAAAGCGTAAAAGATTCATGGCGTGCGTGTGCGCGCACCCGCGTGTGTGTGCGTACGTGCGCCTGCGTGTGTGGTTCGAATGTGAGTGTGAATACTTCCGGTTTCCCAATTAAGTACGAAACATGCCTTTTCCCTATGATGTTGAAGTCATACAATGCAATTATCTAGGAAAAAGTAACAAGACGCCTGTCCTTAAACACAACTATATTTGAAAATTCCAATGTGCTTTTGCCGATATTGAAAACAAGACAAAGTGTGTCAAACAAGTTTAAAAAAAAAAAGAAGATTTCTCACGTTCTTGTTTTCTCTCTTTCTATGACAATTGAATACTACACTTAAAACAGTGCCAAACAAAGTAAATTTTCATTTTCTTTTCAGAAATATGTCCCATTCAAGTTCAATACATCATCAGAAATACGTCCCATTTCTGACTGCCATTTATAGTGAAAGTGGGGGTATCCTTACATGCAAAACTTTTCTTTGAACAGGACACAAATAAACCCATTACAAATTTCCCATCTACAACTTCAGCAGCATAGAACATCTTAACGTCAGGAGTGGCCAAGATCTCCTTACCTGCGTCGCCGAAATCATACTCCTCATCGATGGATGAAGACGAAGACGGAGAAGGGAGGTCGTCCTCCAGCAGTCTGGTGGAGCTGTAGGCGTGATCATCATACGGATGGCCCGTCACAACCACTGGACTGGACGGCCGCTTTCGAGGATTGTTGTAACTGAAATGGGAGTACCAAATTTAAGACTTGCACTTCAAATTAAGAAATTTCCCTGGTATCTATTTATGAAAATAAAGAACAAGTAAAGTGATCTATAAAATCAAATTTACCAACTGGCATTAAAACAAAACCAAGAAACACACAAATGAACAAAGAAAAAAACTTGACACATTTTCTTCCTTCAAAGAAACATCCAATCAAAAGTGTTGATGAAATAAGTTGCACGTCTCTGACACACTTCACAAAATCCAACAAAGATAATGGAAAGGAGAAGGCAGAGGGTGGCAGAGAAAAAAACCCAATCAAATAACAATTAGATCAATTCTGAACATGTTGCCATGAACAGATTTGCGACATTTTAACAACATAAAAAAGCAGTATGAGGGCAGACCCCACCAGCGAGGCCGACTTATCAACAACACACAGGTTACCTACCTGTACGAACGTTTGTGGTACTTCCATGTGGGCCCAATGTCTTCCCCTGGGGAACTGTCTGGTGACTCTAAGGAACAGAAGGAAGGAAAAAACCCATCATTATGAATATTTTGGAGTGTGCGAGTAACACTGGGTGGTATAAATGATATAATAAGAAAGAAAAACATTATTTTGAATATTTTAAGGGCATAAATAAAACTGGGTGGTATATTATGAAAGAAAAACTTTATTAAGAATATTTTGGGAGCATGACTAAAACCAGATGATATAATATAATACAAAAGAAAAAAAGTTCCGGAGTATCTACACTACATCTATAATTCCTTATTAGCCAATAAATGGGAGAAACTGGTGACAAAGAAGCAGACCGCCCCACTACCACCAAAATATAGTCCTTTACAAAGAAAGAAAGAACAAACCTACATCACCCGTGGTGTGCAAGTGCTCTGAAGTGTTTCGACTTTTATAAATTTACAAACTAAATAAAGGGGGAAAAAATCGTTAAATGTGCTAAACACAATAAATTTTAACAAAACTAAAGGACAGTGGCAGCTTAGCTTTAAAAAAAAAATTTTAATGGAGGCTAGCTAGGGCCTAGTATTTTTATGTTCTTTTTTTACTAGATTTATCTTTCTTATCTACAGAATTTGAACAAAACACCAATCCAATGGTGATTTCCTTGATGAAACAAGCCTGGAGCTTGAACTGAGATTCATTAAAAGAAACAGAACCCATTTTACATAAGGAGCTAAAAAAAAAAAAAAAACATACCTTTTTTGTAGGAGCCTTTCAAAGCCACAAGTGTCTGTGCTACATCTTTCATTTCATTATCTGAAAGAGACATAATAATAGCAAATGAACAAACTGTCACCATTTTTTGTTAAACTGTCGGATTGCAATAATTAATTAACCTTCCCTTGTTTGGTCCGGGGGGGGGGGACAGAATGTCAAACAACTACATTCATATAAGTTGGCACGCTTTTGTTACTAAAAGAAAAACTATGACAGATTGTGTAACAATCAACTAGGTTGTCAGGGGATGAGGATAAAGTCACGTTGACACTGGCTATGTAACTGACACCGACCCAAGCCTTTGACAGTTCTGCCGTAAGCTGACAAAACCCCTTTTATTTCTTCACTGCAGTTTCCAGAAAAAGGGGCTTTTTGTCAGTATATAATCACTTAAAAATAAGAGTCATTCCAATATTTGAATTCTAAAATATTCAAAAACTTGTCATAGTTTCAATTTGACTTTTTCACATAAGTAAAGTAACTGATCAGGCTTTCGATATAGTAAATAAAAAATTCCAGCGCCAAAATGAAAAAAGGCGTTTTGTCAGCTTATGGCAGAGCTCTCCTACACAGTGTGTATCTGCACAACATATACAAGGTAAGTTCACTGTGAGGAAAAGTTTTACAACACTTGCCTCACAAATAGGTCATACTAGTGCCAAAGATAACAGGTGTAACTAGAGTATAACATACACAAAGAAAAGAGGAAAGATAACCATCATAATAATAATAATAATAATAATAATAGATAGCATTTGTATAGCGCATATCCCCGCTCAACAGCAGGCT